CACCACAGTCTGGTGAGATTGATGCAGTTGGGGGTGACGAGAGGTTTTGGCAGAAGCTCGAGGCTCAGAGGAAAGGCAAGACGGACGTTTAATCAGAAAGCTACTGGCACCATTAGTATCGGAACTCTTCGCTGGCTGATGAAGATGGGGACGGGCGCTTATGGGAATGCCCCGAGTACTGTAATGTCGGTTCTTGAATCAAATCAAATCAAATCAATTGATCTTTATCGTACCTCGGACATGACCATACGTGCTCCGATCTCCTCCTGAGTCTGTCTCTAAGTGTTTTCCGGCTCACTACGCCTATTTTGGTCTGGCTGAGGTAACGACTGGTGGCTCCCGTATGATTTTTCTTGTCTCGCTGCTCCAATCGGTACATCAATGACGTGCAGTCTATTCAGTTACAAATCATTTCCCATGAAACTAAAAGCCTTACAGCGTTTATGTTCTCGTATGGCATTGATGATGTCTCTCCTATTCACAGAAGACTCATTCCCGATAGTCGCACTGCCTGCCAGGGCGTCTTTTCTTTGCTTTTCACATCATCATGCCTTGGGACAAAAATTATCGTTTTGCAAAACGCTGCGTGCTGTATCAAATGGAGCCACTGTTTCCGTATATTCCCCGCCTTGATCTTCTCTAGCATCCTGGACATCAATGAAACTCAGGGTCACACAATTTTCAAGAAAAAGAAGAGGAAGAAGAAAGTGGAGGTTAGTGGGGAGGGGAAAGGAAGACGTGGAGAAGGAGGAATATGATGAGGAAGACAAAATGAAAAAGAAGAAGAAGAAGAAGAAGAAGAAGAAGAAGAAGAGGAAGAAGAAGAAGAAGAAGAAGAAGAAGAAGAAGAAGAAGAAGAAGAAGAAGAAGAAGAAGAAGAAGAAGAAGAAGAAGAAGAAGAAGAAGAAGAAGAAGAAGAAGAAGAAGAAGAAGAAGGAGGAGGAGGAGGAGGAGGAGGAGGAGGAGGAGGAGGAGGAGGAGGAAGAAAAAAATGGAGGTGAGGAGGTGGAGGAAGTGGAAAAGAAGAAGATAAGATACTTAATATAATCTGTTAACTTTCTTGCAGAGTCAAACCAGTAGGGTCAAAGACGTCTAAAACATGGCAGAGATGGCGGAATGAGACTTGTGAATATAGCGAATGTTGTTTCTCTGGCATGCCTCATTTACCGTTTCTATGTGAATTCCCAATTAAGTAAGCAACGCATTTTCTAATACTTTGTATATTGTGCATTTATTGTTAATGACACACTCCTGTGTCCATTAGCCAATCTCTGCACTACAGATCCGGTGTGTTTAGAAACCTACATCCGTCTTCATTTTTGCTCTGAAACTTTGATCCACTTCTGTACATTCCTAAGTTGTTTTTTTTTTTTTTTTTAAAGCATTAAAGTATCTTTAATTGTATCTACTTAATGTGCCATCGAAGACGTACATTTTATCAGTCTATGTCGCTTAGTTTTTCTTCTTCTACTTTGTTCACCTGCTGTAATCTCAGTCGGAAAGTCTTGGTTGTTCGTCCATCTGGACTTGTGCTGTGTGCCATTTTTGCGTGTACCTCCGTTTGACAAGCTTATTTGTGTGCAGTTGGTTGTTCCTGGCCGCTCAGGCAAATGCACTTCCTCTTCGAAGGAAGACCCCAGCTAGACGACTCCTACGACATGCTTTTTTGAGGAGGGGGGTGCAATGGGTCTATTATTGTCTCGACAATTCGGGTTGGTTTCGACAGTGGAATCGAGAAGCCGACCGTCGAGAAGGCAGTGGCAAACTACTGGACGTTAATTTGCCTAGAAAAACCACAACCACCAAAAAAAAAAAAAAAGATGCTCGTGTTGGTTCTGCAACGTCCTGTAAAGGATACGCAACTAACAAAAGTATACCATTGTTACTAAACGGCTGGTTGGAAAAAATAACAAGATGATCTGCTGCCAAAGCGTATGCACCTAGAATCGAACCCGGCACCCAAGTATTAAGAAGCACGTTCGCAATGTCTGAAGCTACAGACGCCGAAGAAGTAGCAATCATAGAAGTGCAGAAAGACTAGCATATGCTGTCAAAACATGTATTATGAAAATGGCGGTGGAAGCAGTCGTTGCTGCCTTCTGCTGGCGTGATAATCAGCTGCACACATGTCGCGATTGTAACTGACTCACAGAGCATGTTGGGAAAGCTGGACAACAGGCATGCTCCGTGCAGAGTGGCAAGCATCGCTTAAGAGGTCCCAGTTAGTTAGCATCCATTTGATATTTTCTCCAAATGCTGGTGTGTTGGGAACTACGGTCTGCACCACTTCGTGGTAAACTGATGTATGACAAGCTAGATATTGTGATGGCCCTTTGGGAGCAAGTGAACAGTGCGGTGGGACAAATAGATCATTGAGGTATGAGGAGATTGGCGCTGGGTCTAGTTACCATGGGATCTGGTCGACGCTCAACACTCGCGGAAATGGCGAAACGAAAATAGACAGTTACTGGTGCCAATGGAATTTGAACTCCTTGATAGCTGCTGAAGTTGGGGGCAGAGCGCCTATGGGAGTGTCAGGAATGCTATGATTTCGATTCCCAATTCACCAATTAACATTCAAGTAGCAGTAAAATCAATACAAAGCAGCAACAGCAGCAGCAGTAGCAGCGACAACATAAGCAAAAGCAGCAAAACAGTACAAAAATGTTCATCTAACCAGGCCATAACGAACTGTATATTATCTTTGAATATTTACAAAATAAAAGGAAATCTTCTTCTTCTTCTTTTCCTTCCGTTGCGTATTCTCAGATCAGACCATAGGTGGGTTGCCTTTGTGAACTCGCATGTCAGCTGCAGGTCCTTCATGGTTTCCCCTTAGCTTGCTCTGTACACTTCGCTCTTGAGGCCAGGTATTTTTTCGAAGTTGTAGGTAGAGTGGGCAGGTCTGCAGAATGTGCTCAGGGGTTTCTGGTCCTGTTTAAAAGGTACACTGTGGTGACTTTATTTTATGCATATGGCTGTTGAGCCTGCAATGTAATGTTTGTAGACGAACAATTGTTGAATGTTGCTTTCTGTTGAGTCTGCTGACTGGGTGTAGTGGATTGCTTTTGTTAGTTTGTTCTCTCCATAATTTATTGTATTTTTCCTTGATAAGTGATCTGATTTCTGGTAGTGACAATTAATTGGTGTGTGGTTTCTCCGTTGTTCCATTTTTTTGCAAGTTTATCTGCTAACTCATTTCCTGGTATGCCGAAGTGAGCCGGGATGCACTGAAGTAAGATTTGATTTTCTTCGAGTCTGTTTAGCTGGCGGGTCAGTTTTCTCTCCATGTTGTCTCGTGGATCTATCTGAGCCGCCTAGAGGACTGGCATGCAGTCACAGCGAAAAACAATTTTGATGTTTTTAATTTTTCTTTTCTCAAGCACTTTGGGTGAATCAAAAATTGCTTGTTGCTCTGCTCTTAAGTTTGTTGAGAGCTTTCCGGAGGCATGACGTTTCTGCTTATGATCGATCCAGCTCCTCCGTTTTTTCTGGTACCTCCAATGATCCATCGGTGTATACGTGTGTCCATTTGGGTTTCGGATAAGTTGACAAGTTCAAGGGTCTTTACATACATCATTGTTATCTCTGCCTATAATTGTTGTTGTGACTGTATAGGCTGTAGGTCTATGCTATGTGCCTGGATTGTGTCCCACACTGAAGTTTCTTTAGAAAGGATCTCGCTGGGTTGTTTTTTTTTTTTGGGGGGGGGGGGGGGGGGGGGGGTTGCGAAGTACAGTTTTGATAAACGGTGAAAGCTTTGTCTTTTCAGTCGTATTTTAGTTAAGTAGCTTGCTATTTTGTGCACGGGTTGTTGTTCATGCGTTTATTTTTTTTTTTCCTTTAGGGTAAGCACCTTTTCTTTCATTTAAAGGCTCAAGCACTGGAGGCCAGAAGTTGACTCCAGCTCATTGATTGGTGTACTTCTCATACCTCCAGTGTTGATTCTGGGACCAGTTTTCTGTATTTTGTCCAGTTTGTGTAGGTTTGATTAGGCTGCAGTAGAGTAGGCTCCCATGCCACACTTCAGTTTTGGTGTTACTTTCCGCGCATCCTGAGTATACTTGTATGTATAGTGTTGGTATCTGTACCAAAGTTTATTCTGGGAAGTTTCTTTATAAGTCTCAGATTTCCTTTAGGTGTCTTAAATGTGGAGCCCTAGGTTAGCTTTTTGTCGAATTTTACTCCCAAATATGTGGGGTGCTATCTTCTTTTGGAAAGATGTTGCCTTCCAGGTACAAATCAAATTGTTCTAGCTATGTGAAAAGAGAGAGGAGCGTTAAGACGGGTTTGGTCTGGCTTTTTGTGAATCTTCAAGAGTCTGTCCATTTCTTAACTGTATTTATAGCGTCCTGCATTCCTGTTTTGGTTGTTCCTATATGTTCAGCTTGGGTCCACATGGCCCGGTCATCTGCATGTACGGCCTTGTGAATGTGAGTCGTAAACTGTTTTTGGAGGGCATTAATAAAAAGAATAAACAGGGTAGGAGATATAACAACTCCCTAGGCGACACCTTCTTGTAACCTGACCAGCTTGCTTTTGTGTTTTTCCAGTCTGACTCTCGTGCAGCGTCTGTAAAGAAAGTCTTTATTCCAAGCCAACGTATGTCCTTTAATCCCACTGAGTTTTAGTTTTAGCAAGTCTTTTCATTCAGACATTGTCAAAGGGCTATCAGTTTGTATTTTTCCTGGAAGCATCTTCAATTTCTAGAGCGAGAACAGCATAAGATATTTGGTCATCAGTGCTTCCGTATCTCCTGAAGCCTGACTGGCTGTCATGCAATATCTTGTTTTCTTCGAGAAAAGTAGGTAACCTGTTGTTCACTTATATTCCCATGGTCTTTCCAAGGCAGCTTAGGAGGTTTATGGGATGGTAACTAAATTTGTTTTCATCGGGCTTTGTGTTCTTGGCTTCCTTAGGAAGTAGTCCCTGGGTTCAGGATTGATTGATAAAGAAAATAAGGACCGTTTATTTACTATTTATATCTCTATTGCTTACAGTAATATGTGAAAAAGGTTGGTTTGGATTGAACTGTAAACTAAAGTGTCGATGCCAGAACTACAGTTGCAACAACGAAGGACGGTGTACGAACTCGTTAACCTGTCAACGTGGATGGTTTGGCCCCTCGTGTCAATATGGTAAATTTTCTGGCTTTATGAACTTCCGCTGTTTTTTTTTTTTTTTTCGGATCATGGCCTGTGACGATGGTCATTACATGTCGTCCACGACCTTCCCGCTCGTTTTCTGACACGCATTTATTTGTATGTGTTTGTGTGGAGTCTGTGTGTTTGTCCATGCATGATTGTGTGTGGGTGTCTGCGTGTGTTACATGTGCTTGGGCACGAGCGAGCTTTTTACGCTCCAATCTCTGTCTGAAACCTCCTCTCTCTTGACCTGTGACAGCTCACCTCCATCTCGAACTGTTTAATTGTCACCATATGTTGCTGTTTCAAACACACACACACACACACACACACACACACACACACAGGCATTGTTTATATATAGTAAAGTAAGTAAAGGACCCTTTTTCACGCCTATAGGCGTGTAGGGCATATAGGGCTAGACCTATATTTGTATAGACCAATCGGCACAAGATGGGTGATGTGGTCAGCATCACGCCGGCCGCCTTTGCTTTCCCGGGACTGCACCCGGTACCCACCGAACGCTGGGTCAACCTGAGAGATAAGGTCGTTTTTGAAAAAAGTCCGGCTCCGCCAGGGAGCGAACCCACGATCTTCCGATCCACGACGAGCGTCTAGCTGCTCGGCCACGGCGACTTCCGTATATATATATATATATTATATATATATATATATATATATATTATATATATATATATATATATATATATATATATATATATATATATATATATATATATATATATATATATATATATATATATATATATATATATATATTACCAGAAAGAAGACACAGAAATGGATAACCGAAGAAATGGTAAGGTTTTTTGTGACAGTAAACAGTGCTTGTATGACAAAGAAGAATATGACAAAGAAAAAAAGGCGTAAATGTATCAAAGCAAAAGAAAAATTCCTTTAAAAAAAATGCAATAACATTGAACAGTCCTTTTAAAGATGCTAAAAATGTGCACAAACATATTAACCATCTAACTGGAAAAAAAAAAAAAAAAGATAGGAGTAAACACTGGGTGTTTGAAATCAAAAGCAGGAGAAACCCTAATGGAAGTAGATGATATAATAACTAGATGAGATGAATACATAAGAGAGTTATATGCTTGAAAGCCAGCAGAATTACCAGAAGAAAGAAATTTAGAAGTTTCGCCTATACTAAATGAAGAAGTTAGCGATGTTATTAAACATATGAAGAAATGAAAGTCAACTGGGCCAAATGAAATTTCGGTAGAAGAATTTGAAGTACTGGGGGACATTTGGGGTAGAGTATTAACTAAACTGATGAATGACATTTATAACGCTGGGTACACACCAAGTGAAATGATTAAATCTGTACTTTTTGCATTACCCAGAAGACCAAAAGCAGTTAAATGTGAAGAATTTCGTACAATCAACTTAATAAATAATGTCACCAAATTACTACTCATATTTACAGTTAGAAAATAAATAGATTACACCACAGCATTTGACAAAGTTAAACATAAGCATTTGATATAAATGTTTAAGAACATCAAAGTAGACAGGAAAGATCTCAGAAAAATGAAACATTTACTGGAACCAAGAAGCATCAACTAAAATGGGGAACAGATTGGTAACGTTTTTAACAGATAAAGCAAGGAATAAGACAGGCATGCGTCTTATCCACAGACCTTTTCTCTCTATATAGTGAAAACATTTTGGGGGGAAATTAAAGAGAAATCATGAAAAAGAGTTGGATAATACAATATAAACAATTTGCGTTATGCAGACGATAGCTGAAAATGCAACTGATTTATAGCAACTGTTGGATATTGTGGGGATGGAGAGTGCTAAGAAAGGACTTTCACTGAATATTAAGAAAACGGAAGTAATGGTTATATCAATGAAGAAGATACCTTCACATTGTGATATCTAAATTGAAGGGAGAAGACTTAACCAAGTCGATACATTCAAATATATGGAACAATCATATCATCAGATGGAAAAAGCGTGACAGAGATAAAAAGCAGAACAGGTAAAGCGAAAGCCGCAATTAACCAAATTAAAATTATCTTATGGAATAAACCGTTCTCATTTAATGTCAGAGAGTGCTTAAATGTTACAAAGAACCTGTTCTGCTGTATGGCCGTGAATCTTAAAATCCCAGTGAACAAACTGACACGAATTTTGAACCCTTAGAGATGTCGTTTCTGAGACGAATGTTACGAATACCTTGGACAGTCAGAGTAACTAACAACGATTGCTTGCAAAAAGCGAATGGAAGTAGATCGCTGTATACAACAATAAGAAACAAGACAAACAGTGTTTTATGGCCACATAATGGGAATAGAGACATAACGGAATATCGTGACAACTGGAAACATCAGGGGAAAATGGGATAGAGGCAGACAAAGAGAGATGATGCTGGATGGCTTGAAATAGTGGCATGGAGGGATATCATATATATATATATATATATACATAATGTTATCTGCTAACATGCGCAGGCGCTCATGCATCTCCCTATATCGCGATCTCTGGTTCCCTGTAAACAGCTCTCTTATGTGGCCATAAAACACTGTTTGTCTTGTTTCTTATATACATAATGTTATCTGCTAACTTGCGCAGGCGCTCATGCATCTCCCTATATATATATATATATATATATATAATATATATATTCTGCTAACGGCGCAGGGCGCTAATATATATATATATATATATATATATATATATACATACATTCACTTGAATACATATACAGATATATAAACATAAAAGTGTGTGCATACCTCTGTGTGTCGTAACGCATTCTTCTGTTCCTTACATTTACTTCCCGTCTTTTTTAGGATGAAATCTTTCGTTATTTGAAGCCCTACTCTGGCTCTATCCAGGGGATGCAATATAGCCCAGCCATAAATATAGCCAAATGGCTGAACGCGGTTTTGGGGACCTCTCCACGTTGATCCTCATCCACATGGTGGTACATTGTGTCATCGGGTGTTTATCGCTTGTGTGATGTCCTGATGAGGTAGAAAGTCAGTCAGTCAGTCCTTACATTTTACAGTAAAATTCATATTTGTCCCTTGTTACTGCCCGAACAATAACCACTTGTGAATTATTAGATTGATGTGTTCAGTCTTCCTATGACCTGGTCAAACTCTGCGTAAATCACTTCTGCTTTTTTTTAAAAATCTGTTCCCAGTTGATCTAGCCTTCAACATGTCAGACAATCCGCTGGTTACAGACGGCAACGATAGCACCTGCTTGACGCCTGGGAGTACCAGCAATGTAACCCTCAACATGTTTACAGCTTGGCCCTTCACCTGGCTTAGAGTGCATGTCAAAATTGAGAGTAAACAGAAAAAAATATATTCTGTGCCACCTGTGCCATCTACCGTTGTTGTTTTGTTTGTTGTTATTATTAGTAAGGTAAGGGAAGAGGCAGGCCGGAAACCTTAAATGATATAAAGGCATGCCAGTAAATATGAAATGAAAACCGTTGGCATAAATACATAAAAGTGAGAGAGTTTCACCAGAGCCTGCGTTTTCTTGATTGTCCATGGTGTCCAATGGGTCATGAAACATTTTCATGATAACTGTACATAGACCAGAGTGCCGCAGTGGTGAAGCGGCTAGATGCTCGCAAGAGAAAAACGACATTGGCTACCAGTCCTTAAATTGCTACTAGGTAAAGTCCTGGAAAGTAAAGGCGGTGGGGGGGGGGGGTTTGATGTTGACAACATCGCCAGTCGAGTGCTGATTGCCTTTCAAATATGTCTAGTCCTCTATGCTCAATGCACCAGGGTTCATCAAAATGTATGTTTTACATAGGTAAAAAGAGCTGGTGAGACTACAGTGAAGGGCATTGGCTTGTGCTGATACTAGGAACATGTGCAGTGATTGCCCTGACGATGTTGGTAATGATAATGGGGCTCATAAGGATCAGGATGTTGTTAAACAGAAAAATAATTCAAGAGAAGACGACTTATGCGGGGAATAGGACATGATGGAAATCAACGAATCAAAAAGATTAGAACAAAAAGAAGACGAGAGGATAGGGAAGACAGTAAGAAAAAGTGGAAGAAGAAGGGGAAGAAGAAGAGAAGGTAGTAGAAAAAAGAAGAAGAAGAAGAAGAAGATAGAAGAAAGAAGAAAGAAGCAAGAAGAAGAAGAAGAAGAAGAAAGAAGAAGGAAGAAGAGAAGAAGAAGAAGGATAGAAGAGGAAGATGGAGAAGAAGACAGTAAGAAGACAGAAGAAGAAGAAGGAAGAGCAGAAGAAGGACGAAGAAGAAGAAGAAGACGCGAAGAAAAAAGACCGGAAAGGAAAAGAAAGTCAGAATGAAGGAGAAGAAGAAGTAGAATGAAGAAGACGAAGAAGAAGAATAAGAAGGAAGAAGTCGATAAGCAACAAGAAGAGAAAGAAGAAGAAGACGAAGTTTAGTCCTTTCAATTGCACCGAGGTAAGAAGTTCTGTCACCAAAGAAGAAGACAGAATGAAGCGACGACGACGGAAATAGAGTGAAAAAACAGGAGTGAGTGAGAAGAAGAAGAAGTAGGAAGAAAGAAGAAGAAGAAGAAATGGATAGAAGAAGAAGAAGAAGAGAAGAAGAAGAAGAAGAAGAAGAAGAAGAAGAAGAAGAACAAGGAAGAAGAACAAGTATACAAGAGCCAAAAAGAAACCGAGAAAAAAGAAGTGAAAGAAGAAGACACGATACTCTCTCATACACAAGAAGAGAAGAAGTTAGGGATTTTTATGGAGCAACAACTGTTGCATAAATAGAGGAGGTAAGGTGTGGGATGTGATAACGTAGAAATACTATTTGCAGACTGATTTTTAAGAAAGGCTTTTGAAAAAAAGAGAATTCCAGAATTTTTTTTATTTTTTTATTTCAATTTAATGAAAATACTATTATGGTAATGCAACGCGTTGAAAATTTTCGCATGTCAGAATGGTGATAATCTTGAAAATATATAGTGATCTAGGAAATAAGAGACAATGTTTGGAAATGTATAAATATGTTGACTGTCCGCAAGTTTGTACTGGCCATCGAAATCTTCCCTAACATAGCAACTACATTTCTATCGTACAGATGTTGTTAATAACCTAAGTGTGGGTTTTATGAACAACTCAGTGCCTGTTGCGTGCACGAATCTGAAGGCATATGAAGTGGACGACAAAACCATGGACGTCCATTGTAATCTCACAAAGACTTTCGATGAAGTCGTTTTAGTTGGCGATGCCATCCAGTATCTTTGCTCTGTTTACATTAGTGGCGGTAAGTTTTCATTATTTCTGTGTAAATATATTCTTTAAAAAGCAGAATACATTGTCATCATCATGTAGCATGTCCTTAGCAGAACGTCGCTCTCATCACTGTCTGCTTGAAAGAAACTCGGTCTCGGGCCAGCTCTCCCACCTCATGTACTTTCATACCCAAGGAGTCACTTATATCCTGTGCCCATCTTCGTTTTGATCGGCCCCTGCACCTCCTTACCGATACCGTGCCCTCTGCTATAATTTGTTTTAATCCGTCGTGGCGCTTGATATTATCAAATTCATTTTTGGCTTCCATGATGAGTTTCTTGGGACAGTAATGCGGTAGTTTCCGTTGCTTTCCAAATCCACATAGCTTGAGACTACTTCCTGAGCCTTCAGCAACCTTTTCGATTGCTAGGAATGCCCTGCTCTGTGATGCTCCTGCTAACAGCAGAGGGCACCCCAGAGGTGTCCACTTATCCCGGCGGATACTCGGTCCCCATAGCTGTGTTGGTCACACTGCAGTGTGTTTACCGTCCTCTACCGGGTGGAGGTGCAGTTGGGGTTTTCCCTTCACTGAGACTTAAGACCAGAATGACATTTCCCAAAACTCTCCAGTACTTTCACAGAAAGCAGAAAACAGTTTGTTGAAAAGCAACAGATGGGAACGCCAAAGAAAAACACGCCGAAGAATTACCGTAGACACGAACAAGAGGAGACTACGCGGAAGATGAATGATGGCATCAACCATAGCTTTGAGAAACTAAAACTCAACTTTTGTACTACATGGAAAGAGTTTATACAATAGATCTTTCTACTTCTTTTCAAATAGTCAATGAAGTTAATAAAGGAAGGGAAGAAAATTAGTTGATGAAAAATAGCAACCTCATTTTGGTAAATTAGGCTGAAGTAGCATGGTTTGTAGTTAGTCATTGTGATGAAGTCAATAGGAAGATGTCTGCAATCGCACTAATTGCCAGAAATGCAATTATTAAGCTCAACGAAGTCAATGAAAAAAACGCATTCAAACACAACCAAATGTTTCGATCAATGTCTTTGTCAGCGGTGTTCTAAATACAGCACAAACTGTGCCTAGAAAAAAATAAATAAATAAATAAACGGACAAGGCAACAGAGCTAATGAAAAGCCAGGGTCAATATGAAACCAAGAAGTACGTAATGAAGGGAAAATATGAATATGAAGGGTAATATTATGCAAGGAATTAAGTAAGAACTCGTATGTAGAAAGAGGGGAAGAAATATGTATAAGTTTGATAACCGAACACGTAAATACACTACATCAAATGAAGCTGTGTTGAATTTTATTCGTTCCAGAACTGAAAACGCCAAAACTATGAATCAAACTATTTTCTAATCAGTGTCGGCTGGTTTGATCACAGGAGAAGGATGTTTTAGAAGTGACTGACATATCGTGGAGACAGTTTGAGAGCATTATTACGAATGACAGCAAGCTATTTATGGATATAATCTCCTAGCTTTCTGCTGGTTTCCCCAAAATATGCTTTTTTTTTTTTTTAATTTTTACATTTTTTTGCAGATATTCTCATACATCAGGTCTCGCGATTAACAAAGAAATTGTTTCATAAAGTGAAATAAACCCTTCAGTAAGCAGACCAAGTGGACGTGAAATACAAATGGACTTGTTTTACATCTTGTACGGAAGCATTTGGAAATTAATTTCTGGATAGGGGGCAGTCTGCTTCTGACATGTGTATTCTTAAAATTACGGTCACTCAAGATCTTACGGGTGTCAGGATCAGAGCGAAGACTATTAAGGTTCAATCCAATGTTTCTTGAGTAGTATAGCAGCCATCACATACACAACTACCGACTTGCTAGGCCCGTCGCTTTGCAGAGAAGGAAAACATATCTGACCTTGTTGGTGCTCGTCTCCTTCTAGGCGAGCCATTGCCTCCTTAGCCTGAAACAGTTTTCCGTCGTGCACCTCGAGAAGGTCGGGTCATTGGCAGGCCGAGCATTGCATCCAAGCACACCTTTACACGCACTGGAAGACCAAGGAAGAGATAGATAAGTGGTTTGACTAAAACCTGCAAAAAGATTAACAAACTTATCACTCAAGCCCCCACCCCCCCCCCCCTCTCCCCCCCCCCCCAGAAGCGCAAGACAAATATAGATAGCCACGACACTGTGCTACAACCTGGTATCAGTTAAACGAGAAAAGAAGAAGAAGAAACAGAAGAATAACAAGATGAAAGATTGTAGAACAAGGCACATGTTTCAGGGTAATCTGTCTATCAGGGGCAGATTTAGCTTTAGTTGGCGATGCCTCTTGTTATGTGATGGATTGTACTTTTTTAAGAGCCTCCATGAGAATGTGTTCAAGGTAAAGGCGGGCACGAAAAAAAAATCCTGAAACTCGCGTGACTTACTAAGATAAATCTGAGTAATTCGAACACAACCTACGTAGTCTCAGCTGTTAAGAGCATGATATAGAATTTCTGCAAGAGAATGAGTGAGTAAAGTGAAAGATACTTTTCCACGCCTTTAGGCGTATAGGGCAAATAGGCTAGACCTATATTGTATAGACCAGTCGGCACAAGATGGGTGATGTGGTCAGCATCACGCCAGCCGCCTTTACTTCCCGGGACTGCACCTGGTACCCACTCAAGACTGGGTCGACCTGAAAGCAAAGATCATTTTTGAAAAAGTCCGGCTCTGCCAGGGAGCGAACCCATGACGATCCGATCCGCGGCGAGCGTTTAGCCGTTCCGCCACGACGACTCCCAAGAGAATGAGTGAGAGGATGTATTTAGAAGATAGTTATGAGAATCAGTGGGGACAGGTAAATAAACAATAGGAAGTCGAAAAAATTCACGGCAGTGGTGGAAATCGAGGAGGTGAACCCAATAGCAGGATTTAAGGTGCTGGTGAAATGCATGAATTGGTCGAGTTCATCTCTTGACATTTCTGTAATACCAACGACATTATTTATGTTCCTCCTGCACCTTTATGGAGCTTTCATTTGTCTGTAGAACAATCCTGATGTATTGTGACCAAATTTGAAGTGTCGCGATGTGTACCAAAATGGGTCCCTGTTATGCATGCCTTTTTAAAGGGTTTTCTCGAAAATCAGGTTTGGTCGTGGAGATGTATCGACTGAAGCAGTAGCAAACAAAAACATACATTTTCCTCTTTCTTCAGCTTGTTGAAGAAGATAATGACAACTTAGTCCTTTCCATTTCCAAATGTTATCCTTCGAGTTTCTTTTTTGGTTTTAAACACTACTCTTCTTCGACCCATCACCACCACATCCCCCCCCCCCCCCCCCCCGTCTTTCTATTCCCTTTTTTTTTACCATATTCTTTGATGTAAAGTCTTTTTTATCAAACCATGTCTCACCCCGTGCCAAGCTAGCCTGCGACTTTTCACCACTCCTAGATGAGGCCACTGATATCCTGTAAATGTGTTTATTTTGTCTCTGGAAAACTGGGAATCCGTGGAGATAACAAACAATCACGTCTAAATTACGGGATTAACGTGAATCTACTGTCCCCCGAAAGTGCGTGATAACGAGGGAATTAAGAAGCGGAAATTTATTTTCCGAGGGGTGGGGGGAGGGCTATAAAAGGGATAATTATATCAACACTCATACTGGGCAGTGGAGACATTCTAAAGATCTTTTGTGGATGAATGCTGATAGAATATGCAATAGTAGATTTACAGGTGTAAGATTGTGAGTTTTGAATTAAGGGCTGATTCGGAAATTAGGCCAGCGAGAGAAATAGTATGACATTTGCACAATCCATATGTTACAGAAATTATTAACATCTATGTCTGTAATTATTTCCTGCGTTAGGCGGATATAACCGGTATTAAGTGACGCTGAGTGTTAATCAGTCATCAGTAACCATTTTCTAAACTTCCTTTGCAATCTCACTATGCATGTGCCTTGTGCAGCTTATTGTTTATTGAGTAAAATGCTGCAGTAACCGCTTTTTGCTTATGTTCCCATACTGTACTTACAGGAAAGTGTTGAGTAGCGCACACTATTACAGCCAAACATTTAAAAAAAAAATATGGTCAGCATCAATTACTGGAATGAAATGAAAAGGGTTGGGAAAAAAATACAAAATGCAAGAAGAGCTTTTATAGCACAAGGGAATTTGTGGACGTCAAATGAAATTAAAAGAAATACTAAACTTAAAATTTTTAATTTTAATGTCAAATCAGTACTTTTGTATGAGGCGGAAACATGAAGAACAACCAAGGCAATTAAATACGGATAAACTACATACATTCATGAACTTAGGCCTGCGCCGAATCGAGGCATTAAATGGTATGATAAAATCACTAATGTAGAGCTCTGGGAGAAAACTAAGCAAGATCAAGTGGACAGAAAGGTGAAGAAAAGACACTGGCGTTGCATAGGACACACATTAGGAAAACTGGAGAATAATATAAATAAAATGTATTTGTATTGGAACAAACAGGGGCATATGAATAAATAAAGGCCTAAAAAACCGGAGAAGGGAGCTGAAGAATAAAGTTAGAACGATGGGAGGACATGGGGATCGCTGCATGCGGAAGCAAAAGATAAAACGACCTAGTGTGAGTTGGTTAAGGGTTTATGCTCCATTGGGGCTAGAAAGACAGAAGAGGAGGAAGAAAATATAGAAATGTCTTATCATTGGTTAGTGACAACAGTTATAAGAAAAAGAGGCTGGCACTATTTAGGACACATTCTGAGAAGACACCAACTGAGAACCAACAAACAGGCACTACCATTTAAATAACGGGATTGGGGAAAACAAGGGCGTCCAAAAGAAACATTACAATAAACAATTGCACGAAAGGCCATGATTGGGAAGGGCCAATGGCGCTGGAGTGGACTCCATTCATGATATTGAAGGAATTGCACAGGACAGAATGGAATGAAGCAATAGACTGCCAGCCGTATGTGACATATAATGGCACAACAGAACAAGGATGATGATCATCATGGTAGCTAGGTAGGTAGTTGTGTCCTACCAGGACATCAAACATGCGATAAACACCCGGTTTCACGAAGTGCCATCATGCGGCTAAGATTCATCCGTGGAGAAGTCCCCGATACCCCATTTAGCCGTTAGGCCATACCTATGGCTAAGCCATATCTATGGGTCAGATGCATTTTGTGCCCCCGGCAGAAGCCAGGGTGGGGCTTCAAATGAAAAAAAAAATTTCATCCTACATGAGGACGACTTTTTATATATGATGATCATAACGATGAATGTTGAGAGTGTTAACATTACCTAAAAACTGATAAAAGACTTCTAATTTTTCCCCCCAATGATCTCACCCCGCCTGCATACAATAATGGATAGAGCGCAATCTAGCATTGAAAGAGAATGCTACTCAGTCAACGACATACTCCGAGAATTCTGCCAATACAAGCAACGTTGAGGTTGTCTTCCGGGCTAGTCTGGCAGTGGACGGTTATAAGCAAAGTGATCTCTATATTGCCCCTTACTGCGCCTCCACACGGAATGTGGCAAACAGCAGCTGGGAACTGTTCCTATCGAAGCCTCGGCGTGTGAACAGATACCGTATATTCAACAGAGGTACGTGTATTAGTCGCGTTTTTTATCATTGTTGATCTGACATTGTTACTGTCACTCCAGAAAACAAAACAAGAATCTGCCAGCAAAGTCATGCATGTTTCCTGAAATAGTGTTTCTGACATCTTCCTGTTATGAGTTATGGTTTGGGTTATCTTCACGGTACTCTAGAAAGTGGAGTTTAGCAATGACTTTATTTACTGCTTGCGTCCAAAGCCCGCCTTGACACGCCGGATAGATCTTCCTGTATCAATCATCATCATCATTATCTTCGTCATTAACATAATTATCATTATAATCTCCGAACACAGCATAGTTTGATCAGTCACTTTCAGTCAAATGTAAAAGACAGATGTTTTCATGATTGTGGCCTCGATATTTAGATATCAT